AAGGACATAACCTTGATCAGTTTTAGCTAGCTTTCTGTTTAATCGCTCACCCGGATGCTTGAAAGCAGTCAAACCAGACCTCCTGAGGACTGCCCAGAAAGCCTGTCATTATCTCTCTGCTGTTTACCAGTTGTGCTCTCTTGACATTGGTGACAGCTGAAGTTAGTTAGGCAGAAATTATAATGTATTCTTAGAGACAGTGCAAACGGTTGGTTAAAGAGAATACCTTAATGTTACTCCAGAAAAAAGAGTCAGCTATGGACACACCTGAAGAATACATGTAACATTCCTTTATTTTTTTTTTGGGGGGGGGGGGGGAGGGGGTGGGCCGATATCATCCTCATTTCAGGTTTCAGATTTGCCCTAGAATTAAATGACAGGTTTGATGGTAATTTCAAATGGATTTCTATCTGGAGTCTTACTACTTAAAACCCTTATGGTATTGGGGGAGTCAGTTTTCATAACATTGAGGTCCTATGTAAAGATCACTGAGGGTTGTGAAAAATTCAGATGATTTGACAACTTTAAGATCATTTCCGGTATGTAAAGTACTTTGTTGATTCTTTTTTTCTTACTCTTTTTCATGAACAAAGGACTGATAAAAAAAAAAAAAAAAAAAAAAAAGAAGGAAAAAAAGAAAGAGAAGAAGTAATATTTATTCTCTTCTTCATTCTTCTTTGCACATTTTATATTTAATTATGCATATTAGTAATTTCTCTGAATTTTACATTTTATCTCATTCTTCCAAGGGATTTCACTCAGTCATTGAAATTGTAATATCATTACAGTTCAGTAAAAAAAATTCTGTCAATTCAAAGATCAAAACTTATTAGACTGGGTCAAACAATAGTACTTTCTGGTGTAGAAAATCTTTGTGCTCCATTTTTCCACTAACCAACAGAACTCTCACAGACGTAGGATATGAAATTAGAAATACCCTTTTTATTTGGCCTACTCTTTAACAAAACATGTTTGTTGCACATGAAATGGAGCTGCACAATGCAGGAAAGACTCCTAGTGTTCTTTTGTAGAAGTGATTGTGCAACTAAGCCAACAAAATATTTCTGGTTTCTTCTGAATGTCTCTATGTGGTTTGACCAAATCAGATATAGAAGTAGATAAGTAAATGACTCACTGATAGCTAAACAAAACTCAAGTGCCTGAGTAAGAGACCCTAAAAATTATCTAATTAATACAATGGGTGACTGATGTTTACAATTTTCATCTATATCAGAAAGAAATAAACTCAATACAGAGTCTAGATTATCAAAGTAGAGCTGTCTGAAGAGGCTGGGATGCTCAGACAGCCTCAGGAAACACTCTTTGGTGTTTAGACAGTAAACTTTATCATTCAAATTCTTGATTGTAGTTCCAGAAAGTGAGCACTATGGTTTCTGGTCTTTCTGAAGAAATTGCAGCATAACAGATGCTGGAAAGTAGTTATGGGCAGTGTCGGTAAAAACAGCAATATCTTAAATCAGGGGAGCTTTTCACAATGGGATGCTGATCCGTATGGGCACAGACAGGTAGTTGTGGATACCTGAACAGTTGTAAAGCTCACTGAAGTCTGTCAGAGTGCAAAATAGAGGACAAACCATGAATGTGATGTAGCACAAATATCTGGAGTGACACTCACAACCAACACACTCCATCATAGGTCACATTAAGCCAAGCAAATAACAAGTTTTGCTCATTCCGGACCTATGAGCTAAATAATAAGCTGTGAGGTGTGTGCATGACAAAAGTAGATAACCGACAATGAACTTTTGACTTGCTCTGTAGTGGTTGTGGAGTGTCTGTGGTGATGTGCAAGTGAGGAAAAGGGGCTGAAGGCAAATTTTCCCTCTTTCCAAAATCCACACTCCAGAAGTCCGATGCTGTTGTGATGGGAATGGTAACTTGCAGCGTGATACTACCACATTTCAAGAAACAGGAGTGTTTAAGACTAGAAAGAACCAGTGTAACAAACTTGCCACTTCTGTTCCTCATCTTAGTGATGCAACAGTGCAAGATCCTATAGTGATCAAATGGGTAAGATGTTATCCTTAACCTAAGGAAAAGTAAAAAGTGTATACTTCATCATCTTGTCCTGTGACAAACAAAGACTAAAAGCCTACAAGAAATAAAAATGTCCTTTTCTTATTATCTAAGTTGCTGCTACAAGAAGTAGAATATTATTGATCAAACAAAATCTCCAGAATATTACTCTGTCACTTGCTGAGTCAATTTTGATTGATTACACGTTTATATTGTTTAAAAGATTTTTATCTATCCTCCGAAAAAGCACATATTCTCTTTGTGAATTTGGAGAGTAATACGAGCAGATTGAATAAGCATCTGTACCTATAGTTTGAAACATAGGTACAGAGATAATGTTTAGTCGTAGTTGTAGTACAGTGATGTTTCTCTCTTAAATGTATCATTTTATGCCTAGATCCTGTACTGAAGGGCCATCCCAGACCTCTCCCTCCCAATGAAAATGCTGAAAGCTTTGGTGCCTCAAACACACATGGTAACCCAACTGAAAAGAACCTATATATTCAGAAGTCTTTTTCCTCAAACTTCTTTTGAAATGTTATATGAGCTGTTATATGAAGCAATTGTTAACAAAAAGAAAGTTGTAGTGGCGGTAGCTGTAGGTATAGGACCAGCTGTATAACAGAAGGGAGGCTACAACTGAAGTTTACACCATGTTACACATGCACGTGGCATCTGCTGGAGGATGCTCACCAGCTAGGACAGCAAGGAACTGACAGGAATTGGAGGTGCTGAGGGAGAGCCAGAAGCAGAATTCACATATTTTCTCCTTGCTTTCAGCATCATGGTTACTAAACCGGTACGAGAATAGTCACAAAAAAAGGTTGAACTGAAGTTTGGAGTCATAAAACTGTGATTTTTAAATTGCCTGTGTCCCTGTAATGAACTCCCATTAAATATCAGACCATGGGGTTGGCCATGAAATAGGCTAGTACCCCAGCTAGACGGTTCCCAGCTTTCAAGAGGATCAATAAAGATAGGACTCATTAAAGAAAGCCAAACCCAGTAAATAATAGGCTGCACTACCACTTTATTTTGCTTTGAAGTAGATGGAGAGGGGAAGAAGAGAAGGAAATGGAACTCATTTGTCTATAAGTGAGTAGGTGGTTATTAAAAGATTGTTTAGATTGTTTGATCTAAATTGCTTCAACATCTTGCCATATTTGTTGTTCAAGGGAGACGGGAAATTTCAGGCTTAAAATCCTCACTGTACATTTCTGTCACTTATACAATGGTTAGTAGGAAAGATCAAAAGAACAATTGCATTTACATTCGGTGAGCAAACAGGCATTTGTTAGACTGTTATTAGGATAAAAAGTTATACCGAAAACTCTGTTGAGGTAAAAGAAAGAGAAGACACAAAAGAAATATAAAGACATCCCTCAATGATATAAATTCTTGCAATGCTAAAGAACTGATTCTACTTAACACCAGATGTGGTCTAAATCAGAAAATTCAGAAGTGTGTACAGGCTAACTCTGTTAGTCAAGTTATTTTGCAAGTGGTGTAAATTTGCTGATCACCATGGCAGTTTAGACTTTCTTGCTATTGCTTAACGTATTCTTTTGTTATAAAATGGGTGAAATGCTAAAGCTGTGTTGAGATCAACTACAACTAAACTACGTCTCACACCACAGTTTTTCTGTTACATTTTGATTACAACAGTACCGAATCTTAAGGTAAAACAAACACTTAATGCATTAACTGTTATGGGCTGAAGCCCGTTCTGTGGTGCAGAGGATAATATAAACACAAGGTGATGACGAGTGAAAAAAGATTATACATCAGCAGGGAAACGTCTGGAAATCTTTTGACTGTTACATTTCATAATTTATAATTCATGTAATCTCCAGACTTTCAGGATAATACTGTTTTATGATTGGATCCCTCTGAAGCACTTCTTATTTGCTTACCTTTTTTCATTGTTTTTTTTTTTTAATTAAAGTAAATTTTTAGACACTTTACTGGGCTGGCAATTTTCTCTCTCTCATTTTTTTTTATCTTCTGCCAGGCATTTAAATAAGACTGGCATAAATAGTCCATAGTAATTTCAATCTTGGCATAGCTGGGAGCAGGTTTTACAATGTCCTGTCACCTATGGTAGGCTCCAGATCCCTGCACCACCTTCAGCAACATCAGCAGCAGCAACATCAGCGGCGGCGGCTGCCCAGGGCACGGCCAGGGCAGAGGGTTCCACTGGTCTTGCACCACTCACTCTGAGGAAAGCAGGAGTTACAGCACTACAGGCTGCTCCCCATCTACTCACAGGCAACTCACAAGGATGGCATAGCCACTCTGCTTAATTTAGGCACCTAATTCCAGTGTCTGCCTGGAATGCCTCAACTTCAGACTCTCTGAATTACTCTCCAGGGCATTTTAAGTTACATTCATGCACCTTGCTCCAGGGCAGCTTGAGGAAACTAGAGTCCTTGTTCAAGGACCTAACTTAGATGGCTAAATTTAAGCAACATGAATATTGCTTTATAACTACTAGAAGGATTAGCACTGTAACATTTAACTGGCACCAGCAAGCTGTTAATCACAATTAAAATAGTTCTCCAAAATTGACTCTGTTGTCCACTAGAAGCTGTTACAATTCCTCCAGTTATTTTCTTTGTAAGCTGATGGTACATCTCCAGTTTTAAGCATTTAAGACTGCAAATTTTTATCTGCCCAGGAAGTTCAGTCATTCAAATAAAATAGATCAGGATCATTGTATGCTTTGATTTCACACAGTAGAAAAATTTCTGCTACTAAAAACTATTTACAAAAAATAAATTAAAAAATCTAGTTACTTCAACCAATTTATAAACAGTTAGAAGGGTTACTACAAACCTTCATTAGATTATATCCTTTGGAAAACACAAAACAGATCATCCATTGTTAACACCACCTTCCCATTGCACATCACTTATTAGAATGAGGAAAAACAAACAAAACAGCCTTTCTCAGGAATTACATACCTCTGAGCCAAGCAACAAGGCAGCTTTCATTTCAAACTGGGAAGCTACAGCAGAGAGAGAGAAGAAAACTGGATTTCAGAATCAGTGATTTCGGTGAAACAGACAAACACGTACAGTGTGTTGGTCGTAATTTGAGTATTAATGTCTTTCATTTCAAAATAAAAAATAAAAATACCCAGAGCATTATTATTCTGTGGCCAGATTTTCAGTAAGATAGAAGTTTTTCATTAGCCTTGAGTGGAAACCCATTTTCTGCAAGGTTTTGGCAGTACCACAACTCTAAATCTGCCAGAAATCCTGCCACAGTAGAGTGGTTCTTTACCCTTGTTTTTACCTCAGCTTATCTTTCTTGTCTATTCCTGATGATTTCCTTCTGTGCCTGTTATGGGAAAGATTTCTAAGCAGTCTGGCAATGAAAAATAACAGATTGTGTTCTGTGAAACACCTGACCATATTTTTATAAGACTGACCTCTTCTGTCTCTCCTTAGCCTGTTTTCATAGATGTGAAATCTTAGGGCATTTTTAATCAGTTATTTTTAGTTGTCATTGAAAGAAGTCATATATATCACTGTGGTGACAAGGCCAGTAGAGATGTTAATACAAGCCTCCCCATCACAATTTGACATCTTGTTCTTTGAGACAAGAAGCTATTTTATCTATTAAATTATAAAAACTTGCTGATCTTATTTACAACATATTTTACCTATATTATTTAGCAACAGAGTAAGAGAGTTAATGGTTGAGAAAAGCTAGATGAAATCCAGCATGAGAAAGAAGTTTGGAGTTAATTTTTATTTCCTGAAAGGCTATCTCTCACGATTACAAAACAGAGCAGTGGCTCCTCCTGCCACCATCTCCTTTTTGAAACGTCACATCGTTATTGACTTTGCTTCACTTACACTGGTATGCTGAATCAGGAAGGGAAAAATTCAGCTTTCTGTAGCCTGAGGAAAGAACATCAAATCAACAAATGGTGCATCTACGGGAAGGCTGCATATGGGCTATAGGAAAGAAGAGTCTCTAAACTTAGATTAAACACTTGGTTGTACCTCTAAAGGAAGCCTGTATCTCATGTCACACATTAAGGTGTTTCTCACAGCAAGGATAGGTACCACCCTGTATGCCTTTGACTAAAGTGCTCTGAATGACAGTGATATCACAGTAGAGGTAAGGTTATAAGAGTGTAACCAAGGGAAGGCTTTGGAGCTAAACCACTGAGTGGTGAATAGAAGATCCTTCAGCTCTGGAACATTCTGTTACCACATCAAAAATATAAATCATTTAAAACAGGCTCTGGATATTTTCTAAATTATATTGAATTGCTAAAAAGCTTTTTCTTTAGCCTCCCGCAGCACTGAGCAAATTGATTTGGCTACATTTGCCTTACATTAAAGAAAAGTACTCTTCATGTCATGGTGTAGGTGAGTGTCTTCCCCCGTCTCAATAGATTGTATAGCTTTCACAGCTCCGTCAAAAGTCCTTTCTTTTTCTGTTTGTCACTTTGATCTGTCTTCAGCTGAGTGGGAGTGGGAAAGCACAGGGACAGCTCTGGGCTCAAATCCTTGGGGAACTAAACATGTGAGAAAACATTTCTGTTGCTGTCATTTTCACAAGATATTTATCAGGTATGTGGCTAAATCCATGTAACAAGAAATAGACCTCTCTACGAAGTAAGGAGAAATAGGGGTACTGACAGCAAAATTTACTAATCAGAATCTGGTTAATTGATGAAAATGATCCTGACTTTCTTAAAGATGGAAAAACATATAGCTCAACCCTTTTGCAGCAGCACAATTCTTTATTCATCCTTTACAGAGAAGAATTCCAGGCTTATTGGCTTTTTAGTTTTCCTCTGATCTTTCATTGACTGTAAAAGTCTCTGATGATACTCCCTTCCTATTCACTGGCCAGCTTTCAAACTAGAGCATATTACCCCTTCTGCTTGTATTCAGCATCTGTATTCTTAGAATTATACAGAGGATGAAAAATATGGCTACAGATGGTAACAAAATTTTTATTTTATTCTACATAAGACTTCAGAGAAAACCCTAACTTTACTGAATGATTATATCCCATAGAACTTCTGTTTCAGTGACAATAAGCTAATGAAACACATTCAATATTGCTAATGCTTAACTAATACACCTGTGGTCGATCCAGTGTTTATAATTTATACCTAGTGGTTTTACCATATTTTGCAGATAACTTTTGTTAATGGGTTCCTTACTTCTCTCAACATCCTACTTACACTAACAAAACCTCATTACCTCCATTACAGTGGAAGGATTTTTGCTGTTGTGAAACTAGTTTGCATGCTGTTTCCGCATTGAAGGTTTTATCCTTAAAGATAATACACTAGAGAACTTCAGATTACTTGCTGTGCATTGTTATGACTGCTCGGCATAGCCCTTATATACAAGGTTAAAAAAAAAAAAAAAAAAAAAAAAAAAAAAAAAAGCAATAGTTGAAAGAACATAATCTGAATTAATGGGGTGCAAAAAGTGTGAACATTAACTGTCATTATTAACAGTGGATGATTATTAGACTCCTCAGACTCCTCATGTCAATGGATCCATGGATAAGAATTATTCCTAATATTCCCCATGGCCAGACAAAGAGACAGCCAGATGGTAGGGGACAGGAAGGAGACTAGTGGAAGTTTGCTTTTCTGCCCCAGGACTCTCCTGTACTTGATAAAGGCTCTGACATGCTTTGAATTCCAGACTGTCCCTTCTCCTGCCCCACTCTTGTAGAATCCTGAACTGGAACCATCTTTTCCATATATGAATACGGATCAAAAATTTTGGCAAAGAGTTTTAGAGAACCCTTTCATAAGTTACATATTTGTGTTTCCTTATAAGCAGATAACCTCAAAATATACCAGAATGTGTTTTTTCAATTGCCAACACTAGCTTTTGCTTTTTCAGCAGGTAAGAGAAGACTAATGGTCTTTTCATACCTTGATTTATGCATTTATGCTAACCCAAGTGCTGTTCCATTTTGCACACTGCCTGCAGACTGAAAACAGAATGAGTTATAGAATGAGTATCCTAGTGCCTGTGGAATCTTTCTATTGATTAGAAAGCAAAATCTCTTGATATCAGGCTTCTCTGCTGGAAATCTAACATGTAAAATCTTTGCTATATGCAGATTTTACTGCTCTGTTTTTCTTTAGCAACATTTCACCACTGATCACAGAAGGTATCACACACGAGTCTATGGACATTTTTAGGAAAAACTGTAGCAAATTTTTTATAACTTACATCTATGACATGTTCAAAATAAATGTTTCTTGGGAATCAATTCTCTTGGGAAAAACAGTTTAAGTAAAATCATGAAAAGTGCTTGCTGTGACAGGATCTGATATGTAGTCCTGTGGGTATGCAGCTTCTTTCAGAGCATTTTGCTGAGCAGCGGTCTATAAAATGTAGGCATTGCATGGGTTAAAATCATACCAAAAAAATCACACAGAATAAGAGATGCGTAATCCATCCTCCTGTCATGAACTGCACAATATCCACCTGTACTCTTGTAAGCTTACCCAGTCTGACAGTCCTCTGGGGACGGAGACTCCACAACCTTCGTGGGCAGTCTAATCCACTGTGTCACTGTCTTAACTGTTATTTTTTTCCTGATGTCTACATTCCTTCAAATTTCTCTTTTTTTTTTTTTTTTTTTTTGAAAGAGTCTGGATATGAAGGTTCATCTTTATTCAACATGTTTCTTATAGTTGTTTATGAAATAGTTTGAACTGTTTTTGCCTTTGATAACTGGGCATTGGGACGCTGTCAGAGCTCAGCCTGGAGCTCATGTGCTGTATGTGGATTTTTTTGCCTTTTGATACCAGTTGCTGATGCTCCTCCATGTCATATGAAATCTGATAGAACTTTGGCCTCAAAATTTAAGTGGGACATGTGCATCTTTACATTATATTTTCATCAAGGGAAAGAGTTATCTGTAAAACTTCTGGTGAGAGAAAAGGAGGTTTTTATGAAAGCTAGTAAGGATGTTACAGGGGCATAGTGAAGATCAGATCATTACTAGAAGTCAATCCACACTGATGCTTCTCAACTAGTTGTCTGGAAAACCTCAGAAGGTAGTCTACTAAGCACAGGAGCATGAGCCTAGCCACTACCCACCATGGCAGATAGTGTCTGCATTGTCTTGACCATCAGTTAAAAGCTCCATTCCTTTACAATGCTGGATGAGGAGCAGTCAGCTGCCTACAGAAGTTCTGCTCAGCACTTAGGTCTACTGGGAACAGGGAGGCAGAGGAGAGCTCGGGAAGGCAGTTTTAGATGCCCGTACTGATGGACATTCAAAGTGCGGGGATCTTGTTGTGGACTATATCTTCATGGTCCCATCTCCACACTTGTCTCAACACGTTAGTTGGTCTTTCAGTTGAGAAAAGTTGAGGAATGGTGTTCTGAGCAATCTACTGGTTTCTCTAACTACTGAATGACAGTTTAGGCATGTGAATCATTTATCTGGGCTGAATTCTTTGTAAACCTGCTCTTTGTGCAGATGTGTGACCATTTCCCATAAAACTGAGTAGTAGTGTACAGATTTGTAAGTGCCCTGGGGCTTCTAGTTGAAAAACACAGATTTACCACATGCACATACACACAAACTCTTACAAACAATTTAATATACTTTGGATTAGTGCAAGAATTTGGAAACATTTTTAAAAATAATCCTCCCCTTCTTTTTCCTTTTGAAAATCGGGATTTAGACTGAATCCCAAGCTTCAGAATCACAAAATTTTAAAATAAATGAAAGTAAAGAATAAGAACTCCTGAGGACCAGGCATAGTGCTCTACTGAGATCAGCTCAACAGAGACAATTATATTGAAGCAGAATATAAATATTAATAATAAGAAACCCTTTTGTCTTGAATTAAGATGTTATACTTACGAGGGGTTTGAATGCATTCTATGCCTGAATGAGAGAGTAGTTGTAGGTTAGATGGATTTTACCCTATCCCTTTCTTTCCCTTTCTCTTTTTTAAAGGCAAAATGGGGTGGTACAAATGAAGTTATTCCCTCAGAATTTGTGCTGTGCAATATATGCCAGCAAGCCCTAGGCAAAAGGACAAATTATACCTTTTTTCTCACAGATAATAGGAATGCTGTTCACAAAACATAGTTCATTCTATGATAAGGCCATGACTTCTTGAGATCTTGTCTGAATAATGGTAGAATGCTTTATGAAGGGACAGGATAATTACCTTTAACATTTAAGAGAAGACATACAAAGGAGTTATACAATTTCCCACAGATATCAATGGGGCTGATCTCTAATGAAGACTGGCTGAACTGGAACAATAATGGAAACAAACCATACAATATTTCCTTACATGAAGAATCCTTTTCCCATTTCGCACATCTCCGTT